GTAGTAGCATTCAGGGTGGTTCCATCATCTAAGTCTATAACCTGATTACCATACAAGGATTGTAACAAACTTCGAAGGCCAATATCCTTCAAGCATGGATCAATAAGAACACCCAAACCAAAAATATGAGGAATAGGCCTAAAGTACTTATTAAATTTGTTCTCCATTTGAAAAATCATAGGTCCAAAACTAGCATCCATACGATATTTTCCAAAATTTTTTTGAATATATAAAATTTGTAAAGCAGCTAAAGTAATGGTTGGATAATAACAGCCAGATAATAACATTGTAGCATCATAAAAAACTTATAACATTTTATTTAAATTACATATAATTTTTCATTCATCTTCAGTTATTCCATAAGTGCTACCAGAACTAGAACTAGAAGCATAATAGTTTATAAAATCAGATATAATGTCTTTATATTCTATTGCTACACTTAACATTGCATATGTGGAATTCCACCTATGGTCAACATCTTTTGAAATTAGTCTAGGCTTTACATTTTTTCTTTTACAAAATTGTTTCTATCTTTTAAGTCTTTGCTCAGAAGCACTATGCATGTAAGCAACTGTTCTAACCTTTTCTATCATGAGTTTAATTTCAGTAAATGCACTTTGAACAATTAAATTTAAAATATGACAGATGCACCTAATATGAAAAAGATCACCATGACATGACAATGATAAAGATGATCTGATAAAATCAACAGCTACATTGTTATTACTTGCATTATCTAGTGAAAGAGAAAATATTCTTTGTGAAATTTCTAATTTCATAAGTTCTTCAATTATTAAATTTGCAACATTAGCACCAGTATGTGACTCTTCTATTGCAATAAAAGAAACAACTCTTTTAAACATTTGCCAATTTTCATCAATCCAGTGTGCTGTGATACATAAATATCCAGTTTGTGCTCTAGATGTCCAAATATCAGAAGTTAAAGAAAATTTACAGTTTAAATTTTTAAAATAAGAAATTATTTTTTCTTGTTCTTGCTGATAATATTTTAAAATATCACGTTGACAGGTTTGACGAGAAATTTTTTTAAATGCAGGATAAAAACCATCTCTAAACATATCTTCAAATTCATCATCTTCTACTAATTTAAAAGGAAGGTTTTTAAGAATGATAAACCTGATTACGCATTTCCTGGCTCTGGCAGCGTCATAGTTCAAACTACCGAGACTACCAGAAGAGGAGGATTGAGAAATCATAGATTGTCGGATATCACCTTGAGGAGATCTGTTTCGATTTTTAAAACTAAAAATCTTAATTGCGAAAGATTTTACAGAAATGCCAAAACTTATCTAACCAAATCCGGAATTTTAGCATATATCCTTTTAGCAGAAATCATGCGATGCTAATTTAATTTTCCTAAGTAAAATAGTGTAACTGCTAATTCTACTATTGATTTTGAGGGACTAATTTCAAAATAAGTAAAAAATTTTGGGGATTTAATGGTAATTTTAATGATTAGAAGGACTATTTTAAAAATAGCCTAAGAACGGGGGATCAAATAGCAACTTTAATGATTTGGGGGACTTATTTAAATTATGAAAGATATAAGGGTCTAATATTGAAAAAACACTGACTTATAACCTTTTTTTTTTCATTTTCCTCCCTTTTATTCCTATTTGTTTTTTGTCGGAAAAAGTATTCTGGAAACTTTACGTGAATAATTAGTTATAGAGTAGAATTCAATCTGATCTTAAAACTTGAAATATTCTTTCTCTTTTTATGATATATTGAAAATATTCCATCTTAAAATTAAGTTATTTATAGAATTTTATCTCTATTGAAAATTCAACTCAGTACCTGGTTAAGATCTATTAACAGCTCATCCTAATCCCTTAAAATTACTGTTGACAAAAATAGTTTAACAGAAATTTGCCCTCCGTTTTCCTTCGCACTGTTTTGTTTACGCAGGTGTTAGACATAATTTAGTTATAGAATTTAATATTTTTAAGATTATATTTCCTATCTAGCTCATCCACATCCATTCTAATGAGAGAGAGTTTTAGGGAAAAAAATTCACAAAACATTTGTTAATAGAATGCTTATTATTTTGTCCTCCATTTTAATTATTCTTCTAATTTGATAGTGGGCCTATCGGCAAGTCAAGTAGACCGAAAGTATAAATTAGCTTAAATTAGCGATATATAAGAGGTGAATATGTGATGGATAATATCCGTATGCTAGGGCAGTTTTGACCCATGGTTGATATTTCACAAGGTTGTATTTATGGTCTTTAATCTAGTATAATTAACTCTTGTATTTGACACAGTCAGCTTTAAATAATAATTGTACTCTCAAGCACCTCGGAGAAGTTTTGAATTCTCAACCAAGTTAATTATTATTTGGAAATATTTTTTTTTAAAAAAAAATTAGTGGTGTCTCCACCACTCCCAATATAGGAAATAAAATTTCCCTGAATATTTTTTTCTGAGTTGGAAGTACGGTTGTGCCTCTAAGTTGGACTTTTGCCCCTTGGGCTGGATTTGTGGATCGGATGTGGATGATTTGGATCCCATTACTAACATCCCCTTAACTTGTGAAGGACATTGACATGACACGTTAGCAAGAGAAATGTCTAGAAATCATATTTGGACAGAGAGACAGTTTACTTGTTATCTAGCTTGATTTTGTTGCAAGATTCTCTTTCAAAAATCATCACTTACCATGGTCCGTGATCATTTCAAAAGCATAAACTGCAGTTTGACAAGTACTAGATGTCTACTGTGATGATTATCAACGTGTGGACTGTCTGTGGCCGATATAGCGATCGTCGAACAAAACATACATATAGCTCTTTTTTTTGAAGTAAAAATTGGGCAAGGCGCACTATCATTGTATAAATATTAAGAACTTAAAGAGTATTTACAGATATCAATATCTAGTTGTGACTTAATGCTAGTTCCTAAATTGGTAGAGGAGCAGAGCTATGTGGTCACTCTACACAATAGAGGAACAAAGGAAAATCACCCATAAATATACAAAAAGGATATACAAAAGAGAAGAGAATTTAACACTCCACGACAGTATAACTAAATACATAAACTGTACGTAGATCCAAAAGACGACTCTGCCTGTGCAATTTTTACCACCATTTCCTCCTGTCAAAACTGAGTCAAAAGAATGAGAAAGGCTACAAGATCCCAAAGGGAGGTCTCTTCGGGTTGATTATGATCCCACATTATCTCTTCGAGATCATAGCTTTTTACGGAATCACTCTCATTGCACAAACTATTTATGCCCATTCTTTTGCCTTGGGAACTACTGTCTATTTGACAGGTAGGAGTTTTGCTACGAGAAAATGGTATCTCTCCAAGTTTGAAAGATTTCCTGGAGCGGTCAAGGCCTTAATACCTTATATTTTCTAAGTGTGATTCTGGTTCATGATCCCTATAGTAACTGGTTTGGGTGAAGAAACTTCTAATGTTTGTGATGAAGCTATTTTCCTGCAGAATAGTTTGTGAAGTCTCCCTTATCACTAAGTTCTGTTAATGTTGTGGAATGAATTGGGTGTTTGTATCAAATTGCTACCTGTATAAATAAAGTTCTTGGATCTAATTTAGTTAATGAAAGTCTGTATCATTTATTTGTTTTCTGACTACCCTCTTTTTTTTTCTGTAATTGCTCCATTTAGATTCCTTTTTGGGTGTCTGATTTATGATCCCCCCGTAAGACTGAGTAAGATACATAATGAGCGTGCTAGGAACACTCTCTCCTACTTCTCATTTATTTATTTACTTTCTTCTTTTTTTACCAAACTAAAAGTAAAAGGTATTCTTAAAAGCTAGGTTGTTTAGTAATATGGATCTAGAAAACATGATCTCCCTGGCTTATAATATCAGCTGAATGAATTATTTGCATCTTTTTAACACATTGTTTTACTGTTCCTGTAACTTGTTGATTTTAGGTTATTGATAAAATTTCAGTAATGACATTTTTTTTAATAACATAATTACGGATTTTTAGGGTAACTACTAACTACTGATTGATATAACTTGGAAAAGATTACAATCCATAATGTCCGGGTTATTGTGTTTTTTAAATGTTGTAGTAGTCCATATCCATCAAGCATACTTTTAGTTTGATATCAAGTTCCATCCTGTCAATAGGATTTCATTCTCAATGTAACCTATTTTTCAATTCCCAGTCGAGTGTTTAGGAGTATGACGCCCACAAAATAGCCAAAGCCATTACTTTACTATCTGAATCTACAGTTTTGGCAACACTAATGCATTTCTTAACCTTCCACATCCTTTACAATGATGCAAAATTTTTCTCAATGTACTTACAGAAATTAAAGCTGATGAAGAAATAGCTGTCATGACAACTTAGCCAATTAAAAGGAGCTAGGTTGGTTAGAGGGAATGATGGGAGAGGCTAAAAAAGGGGCAATCAGACACCCAAGGCTTTAGGGTTAAAACAAAGAAACTCAAGAGAATTTGAGCTGACAAGTAGAAATGAAGGGTAATATTCATCCAGACCACACTCGGTTTCTTGGCAGAAAACAATATAAACAAACACTTGAACCCACCTGATAACTACCTTGATCATAATTCAGTATTGTATCCAATTGTTGCGATTCATAAACCTGCATCAATGACTGTTGATATTGTTGACACAGAAATACAGTTGATCCTTCAATTTATTTGTTCTTATGATGTTGAAACTAGAAGCTAGTAGAGGATTAGGTATAGTTATTTACGTCAAGGCCTTGATTCTAGCTATTCAGGGTGACAAACACTTGTAGGGTTGCCAGTGATGATGCTACTTTCATGTGGAGTACATTCTGAAGTCTCTCTTACCATTCAATTGTCAGTGTAGAAACAAACTGGGTATTGATATCAAATTGCAACCTGTATAAAAAAAATTCTTCCAATATTGTGATTGAAGTATGTATCATTTGCTGGTATTTTAATCTAGAACCTCTTCTGTTGGGTCTCTGATTAAGATTTAAGAAATAACAATTACAGAAAACCGCTAACCGCTAAAAAACACAGATTCGGATGCACATAATGATTTTACAACACTGTCACCAGGAACAGGCAAAATTTTGAAACCAAACTCAAAAACAAACAAACAAAATTCATCCATGACTACATTTCTGATATTCATATCAGAATATTTCAAGCATGCACATTGCAGTCACAAAAATTAGTAATGAATAAACCTCTAAAAACTTACAGTTATACTTTCCTTGCTAGCGTCCTCTGCTTGGTTGCATGCTGCACAACCTTTTCCTCCACCGGAAGCCCTTTCCTTCGTCTGACTGCATTCATGAGCTTCCGAGCCATATTTGGAAGAATACTCAAACCATCTCCAAACTCCTCAATTTCCTCTTCAGTTTTAGGAACAAAGAATGGGTCCTCTGCCAATTCTTCCCAATGACTAAATACCAAAAGAGCACTCGAAGCCCCAGATGTCCATCTCCTAAGCTCATCGGCAAACCCAAAACTCTCTGAAACAGGTACATATGCGTGAACAGTAAACAGAGAAGAGCCTTCATTCATCTCCTCTTTCAACACCTTTGCCCTTCTTCTAGAAAGAACAGCATACATTGACCCCAAATACTCTGTCGGTGTGTTCAACTCACAGAAATACATTGCCTCCACAAGCCTCGGTTTGTTTTGAAGCACCGCTGACTTACAAGCTTCTTTCACAACAGTCATAACTTGTCCACTAAGGCTAGCGTGTTGCCCAGCATGATTTAAAGATTCAGAATTGTCTGAAAATAAATAAGGTTCGATGACAAATGCTAGACCCCACAGAGGTTCATCACATAATGGTCCAGCTGCAGTGGCTAACTGAAACCCTGATACTATACTGCTTTTGAGACCCTCAGCTTCAACATATAAGGACCTGGCTTCACCACTTGATTCTTCGACATTTGAATAAATTGTGAGGTTTTCCTTTAGAAACCCTAGTCTTTCAGAGACATGACATGACCCGCGTATAAGAATTCCCCTTTGGCCCCCGCTCGAGTAAATAACATCACTTGCTTTTGAGTCAGGAACAACAAGGATATTAGGCCCAACATGCCCAGGACCCAGAGACCAAATCCTCTGCAGACACTGCAAAAATAAGCTTTTGTACTTATCACCTTTTTCTTTATCGCTTTTCACAACAGTTTCCAACTCCGACTCTAAAGAGTCAATGATGCGCTTTCTCAGAGTTCCAACAGAATCGCTGTCATCAAGAGACCTGCGAGATTCCAAGCTTCCATTTATCTTGCTAGACTTCCCATCTACTATATCTCCCAAAATCTCACCACTGTCTTCAAGTATTTTTGTTAGAGCAGACGGGAGTTTTAGGACTTGCACCCTCACAAGGAACCTTCCATTTGAAATGGTTTTTTCAACATATTGGGTACTATTAGCAAGTGATCCCTTTAAATTCAAGTCGTCTAAGAAACTGAATCCTTCCCCTTCAATTGTTTCTTTATAGGATACAAGTGGAGGGGAAACTTCCAAGCTTACCTTGGCAAATCTTTCTTTCAAATCCTTTATACATCTCTCTAAATGAACCTCTCCAGCAGCAGCAAGCACTTGTTCACCTCTAGCAGAAACAGTAACTTCTACAAAAGGGTCAGCTCTGTTGAGAAGCCTCAACCCTTTCATTAGTGCACCCATATTAGCAGGGTCTGAAGGCTCAATAGCCACTCTAAGAGTTGGTGAAACCTGAAACATCATACTTGAGAAAGGCCAGCAATTTTTAGTGGATGAAAGTGTGGCGCTCTTCAAAATATATTGCCCCAGCCCCTGAATTGCCACTATGTTGCCAGCACTAGCAGAGGAAACAGGCTTGAGACCTTGACCCATCATAAGATATAACGATTGAATCTCTGCTTCTTGCATAGCAGAGGAAACAGGCTTGAGACCTTGACCCATCATAAGATATAACGATTGAATCTCTGCTTCTTGCACATGTTTTTGCATTGATTCTCCATTCAATGGATCATATAAAGCCGAAAGCACAAAAACCTTCTGACCCAAGTGAAGAACCCCGCTGAAAATCCTAGCAAATGCAAGAAAGCACTCATCAGATTCTCCAATTTCACCATTAGAATTGTGATTCAGGGCTTCACCATCGGAACTTCTTTGAGGAAGCATCTTCATTGGAACTGCAAACATTTTCGAAACAAAGGCTATGCAAGGAGCCTCAGCACTAGAATCACAATTCTCAACACACTTCCTCACATGCTCAGCCTCAGAAATAACAGAGCTTAAATCAGGGTCTTTTTCAACTACCTCTTTCTTTGGAAGCAATCTTGCAATCCGAAAAGACTGAGCAGCGACTGGATCAGGAATGCACTTAACAACCATAGACAAAATTGACTCAGATAAAGGAAGCCAGCGGCTCATTACAGATTGCAGTACAACCTTTGGATCCTTATGCTGGAGTGCACGGGACGGAACTGACAAATTAAAGCTCTTGATGACCTTATTTAGCAACCCTTTATCTCCATCGGCCTCCAAAGCTCCTTGATAAACTTGCCAAAGAGGTTTAAGCACAAACTGAACAAACATAGGCTGAGGATCTTTACTAACACCCTCCATCCCCTTCTTCCCCACAATCATCATCTTCTTCGTGTTAAAATATCGAGGACCCCATAAACCTTTTAATAGCGCATTACTGCTCGCTCCGAGCTTAGACGCATAAAAATCTGCAAACTGGTTAATACTAAAACCCCATCCATCCAAAGCACACACAAAAGCAACATTCCCCTTCTGAGGCTGAAACGTATCCTCCTCGTCATCCTCTACAAATTCTTCGCCCAAGTCATCACCGATCGTTGCTGCAAGGAGAGAATCAACATCGGATAGATATTTCTCTGACTTGTATGCACTCACAATCCCATTTACCTCATGAACAATCCTCTGCAATCGAGTATAAGCTTCCATCGGACTCAACTTCAGCTCCGTAATCAACCTATCAATCTTATTAATAACCAAGCAAGGAGTCAACTTCTCAACCCAAGCCTGACGAAGAACTGCATGTGTTTGTATATGAACCCCTTCGACCGCATCAACCAACACAAGAGCTCCATCACTTAATCTCGCAGCAGTAGAGACTTCACCACAAAAATCCATATGCCCTGGTGAATCAATGAGATTGATCGAATGGTCTTTGTATTGAAGAGCAATCGAAGAGCTTTTCATAGTAATAGCTCGTCGCTGTTCCTCATCAAGATAATCCAGGAATCTAAGTCTTCCAGCGAGTTTAGGGTGCAGAACTCCACCGCCACAAGCTGCAATGAGATGGTCAGCAAGTGTTGTTTTGCCGTGATCGACATGAGCAAGAATGCAAATGTTTCGGACATTTCGGCAGTTTGAATTCTCCATCACAAATGGAAAACGGGTAATTGCAACGGATTTTATATCGGATTTCTGGAAAATTGGTTCTTGAAGGAGAATCAGGTGAAATATTAAAAAGGTCAAATTTTTAAAAACACCACTTTTTCAAAATTAAATAGCAAAAACGACCTTTTGCTCAAAAAAATAGCAAAATCGACCCTTTTCAGAGGAAAAGGGTCGATTTCGCTGTGGCGGGGGCCCTAGGAGGCGTGGGGGAGAGGCGACGGGGGAGGGGGTGGCA